TTCCACTCTCTTGTCCTCAATTAAATCTGCCATCCATCTGGATCTGTTTTTTTTTTTTGGGCCCTTGTGTTGTCCTCAATCTGTACTGCTCACATTGTGATTATGAAGCCTTCTCCTGTGGGTATGTAAAGTCTTTAAGTGGGTTTAACACTTCACTGCCTACTTTATAAACTCTAAGAGGAGGATATCTCCCAATAGAGACTACCAAAAATGGGTTAGACTCAATTCATTTCCATTTCTCTCTGTTTATAATATACTTAATAATAAAATTAAATTGAAACACCAGTCATAAATGCTAAGATGCTGAATATCAAACCTGCCAACAGATAGCTCATATTTGTTTTCTAAATAATCTGTAGGCAGCATTTGTTATTCAAAATGGACATCAATGCAATAGATGACTAATTTAACTTACTTCAGTTAGCTGAAATTAGGTCAGACAAACAATTGGACATGTAAGAAATATTCTATTTATCTATTTTTTCATTTTGGTAATGACGTTGATTGAAAGGCTCAAACTAATAAATAAAAATAAATAATATTACTAATACTAATAAATAATAAATAATATTATATAATATTGTGTCTACTCTGTAAGTCGCTTTGGATAAAATCGTCTGCCAATTGTAATATAATCTATCATACCGTAGTTTGACAAACGTGTGATCAAATACATTTTTCACCATTTCTAATTTTATGTCAGAAATAATTCGTTTTGATCTCAACAGTGAGCTTAATCTTCAAGTTCATTTATTTGAAAAGCGAACTGATGTATATAACATACGATGTGCCAGAACAAGCATTAAAAAGATTTCTGATTAGAGGCAAATTCTCTCTTTCAAGATTATTTGAATTAATAGAAAATGACCTTTTAATCTATATTTTTTTATTTGCACAAACACAGAAGGAGATTCACTTATAAATGAACAACTCAAACAAATGTATCACTCTGATGAATGGAAGTTTCTTTTTTTTCTATTGAATCCTGCTCTTTAATAGAGAAACATACTCGGAAAATGACATGAGCCTTTTTAAAGCAGTAGGTTATACTACCAACCCCATACCTGTCTACAGCAATAGCAACCAGAGTGAAGACGGACGCTGAGACAGAAATCCCTTGCACCATCCCGCTCATTTTGCAGACCAGGCTTCCAAAAGGCCATCCTGCAGGAAGAAAAAACGAAAAAAGGCCTTTAGCTTAGTTACCGCCGAGATAACGAGCACAGACAGATGGCAACGCTCTAACCTCAGGTTGTGACTCATGAAGCACCATACTTTTGGTTCAGAAGATAATCAACTGTTGGGGTTTAAAAAATAACCCAGAGGGGAGTGAGAAAATGTGTTCGGATTTTTTTTTTTTTTTTACTCCCCAGAGTTTACTCACCATCTGTTCAAAAGAAAAAAAGTTCCTCTTCGGATAAGAAATTGTCATAACCTTTTTGTAACTGCCATCAAAGTCAGAATAAATAAATAAATAAATAAATAATAGGTTGAGAAATATTGGGTCAAAAATATAAATTTAATATATATGTTTATTTGACATGAGAACAGTTCAATATTAAAAGCAAATGTTTCCTGTATGTTTTTTGCGTTGACATGGAAACACGTAACCAACGGCAGACACCTCATCAATTCCTCCGCTAAAGAGTTAGCAAAGTTAAAAGAAGTTTGAACAAGTGCATAGTACATTGAAGGACCGAAGAGTTTTAATTTTCTCTCAAGGGAAAGCGGCCAATGAGGTACATGTGTTTTGGTGTTGTTATTCTTGTAAGTTTGTAAATATTTAATGTAACGGATTTGACGTCTCATGTAACCGTTGGTCGCGTTTTTCATTGAAGTTTCGTTCAACGGAAACAATGTATTTATTCACCTTTTATTTGTATGTTTAACAGTTCTCACGGCACACTATTAAGCCAGTTGTGTTATTAAAAGCCCGTAACTCTTGGTTACGGGCTTGGTTTCGTGATTTCGACTTGAGAGGGAATTACACTTTTGCTTAAGCAGTCCTTCGACTTTTGAATAAAAAATCAAGTCGAAGGCAGAAATGGGTTTGTCAAAACCCATGAAATTCCCCTTACTTTCAAAAGCACAAAAGCCAAAATGTATTCAAAAGGATAAGAGGCAAAACTGGGGTCGAATGAATTAAAGCGCCATATAATTGGTTTAAAGACTTCTACGCATGGGATTTGTGAAAACTTTGTGGATCTCACACCTACAAACACTTCAGTTTAAGGAAAGACCTGAAATAATTTAGCCAAGATGATCCATCGTCATCAGTTTTTATTTAAAGAGGCTGGTAATTGTGGCTGGTTAGATACTGAGAGCATACATCTTATTTCAGAAGACCAAAACATCCATTAGCATTAGCTATTAGCCTTGTTGTTGTGCTTGTCATATATTGAAATGGAGAGTTGGATTAAACATTTTCTGAGGGTTTATAGCAGAACGGTATTGTCTTTATAAGTGAGATACAGCCAACCATGAAAAATCCCATTTTGGCCTTTAGATATTTCAATGTGCAGCTTCTAATATTACATCCAGATTTAGAGCTACTCATTTAGCATTTGCTTTTCTCTTAATCTACTTATGTGAATACAAGAGAATGAACAATCAAGTACTGATGCATTAACTAACCACCTTAAACTCAACACCTCCGAGAAGAAAGAGCTGGTTATAGACTTTGGGAGGTCCAACCCAGAACCCTCTGGTCCTGGTTCCCCCGGGGACTCCAACCCAGAACCCTCTGGTCCTGGTTCCCCCGGGGACTAGAACCCAGAACCCTCTGGTCCTGGTTCCCCCGGGACTCCAACCCAGAACCCTCTGGTCCTGGTTCCCCCGGGGACTCCGACCCAGAACCAGAACCCTCTGGTCCTGGTTCCCCCGGGACTAGAACCCAGAACCCTCTGGTCCCGG